GGACAGAGGAAAGGGGACATTGTTGCCCCTTATATCCCCCTAGTTCTCTGCCCATTTTCTGTGGGTTTGGGTGTGTCTAGGAGAGAAGGAATGAGAAATTCTACACTAAGCACAAAGGAGACTGAGTAAATACCTGGGTCCTGGGGCTTCTTCACCGGGGTAGTCGCTGGGTGGTTGAAGTACTGTAGCCGGGCAGGTCTTAGCCAGGAGCACTCAGGTAAAACTTTACCTAGCCAGCCCGGCTGCTGCTCCTCCCGGCATGACTGGGAGGAGCTGGGGGTGGGGAACAGAGGTCCCAGTGAAAACCTAAGGGTTTGATTTAGGGAGAAATGGTGTCTGGGTGGCAGCAAGCCTGTAATTCACATGTCATTTACAGAGGGAGAAAGGGCAGGGCCGGTGCATTTAGGAAACCAGAGCTTTGCCCTTAGTTGCTGACACCCACTCTCCCAGAGTGCTGCCCTTGGCTGCCTTTTCATGTTCTCCCCATTGTTGCCTCTTCCTCCCTCCTCCCTCCTCCGTTGCCAGGGGGTAAACAGAAGCACGAATGTCCCTCATCTGTCTGGTCTGCCCAAAAGGCCTTCTTGACCTCTCCTCAAGAAGTTCTGGGGAAGAGTATCAGGGGAACCTCCTCTTGGGACGTCTTCCGAGAGGCTGTAGGTACCTGGCATCTTACCCTACTTCTGCTCTTACAGTCTATATTTCTGTGCCGTGTGCTGGGTGAGTTCTGCCTGGCGGAGTTCACTACACAAGTGAGTGAAACCTTGCACACCTGTTCACCCCGAGATTCTCAAGTTAGAAGGGGAAAAGTTGCATTTAGGGGAGAGCACTGAGGTCTCCTCTTCTGGAGAAGGCCAAGGGAGGCTTCAGCGACACTGGCTGGCTGGGAATCCTTCAGGAAGGAGAGCCTGCCTCCCTTCCTGCCTGCCTGCGCTGTGGAGTGCGGGCTCCAAAGGCCGCACACCCGCCACACCCAGTGTTCCAGCTGCTTTCATGATAGACTCTAAGGCAGAAAAGCCCACCCTCCCTCCAGCTCAAAGGAGCTAGAACTCTGTACAAGATACACTATGTAGCAATCTTTTTACCCCATTCTTCAATCAATTAGATAGCTGAAAAGCTCTGCAGACTTCTCCCCTGTGCAAGCACCTGGTAACTTAAGCCACCTGTTGCCCCCACCTCTGAAAAATGCAGTAGCTCTGGAAAAAAAATTTTTTTTAAACCCTAAAAATGGGACAAAAAAATGGCTGAGTGGCAGTGGAACGACTTACCAAAACACCCATACGGGAAACTGGTGACTTACCTCAAAACTAGGTAGTCATGCTAGGAACCCAAATCATGCCCAGGGGTCCTGCAAGGAGTCCTGACCCCCAAGACTGTATCTCAGGCTCAACAAAAGCCAGCTTGTCCTCTGCATCGGGGTGCTGAACTTTATGCTGTAGAGATTCTCCCAAGGTGGTTTATCTAGGTCAGGGGTGAGAAATCTGACTCCAGCTTTCAGAACTCGGAGCTCTGGAGGGGTCCAGACCCCATTCCCCTGAGGGCCTACCTCCAATAGATCAAACCCATCCTAGGGCATTCCTAACCTTGGCCAAACTGAGCCCTTTCCACCTGGAGGAGTCCCAAATTTTTTTTTTTTAAAGTTGCAGGCTTGGTTCCAAACAGGTGTGCAGCAGAGGGGCACCTCCCTCCCCCCTCCCTCCCCCCATGCCAGAGTCACAATGTCCATTCTGGGAGGAAGCAGCTGGGCCACTGCCTCTGGGCAGCAAGGTTGTAGTCCAGGTGGCGGTTGACTGCAGTGAGCCCTCCCGACTAAAGAAGGCTGAGGTACATCCTAGTTGGGGTAGCCACTGAGGAAAATGACTTCAGGGAAAGGTGTCCGGACACTGGCATTTGTGGACCAAGAGCCAGCGTAGGCCCCTCGGCGGGCTAACATCTGACCTGGGAGAGGGAGTCCTGGTACCCCAAAGGAGGCCTCGGCCGCCTGGAGAAACAGGCAGGTTGGGAATAAGCTCTGGGAGCCTGCACCAGATTTGAAAGTCTACAAGCATCTGGACAGGGTGGGAGCTTTTGGAGACCCCAGTGCCAGGGGAGGTGGCACCAAGTGCCCTCCAGCCTGAACTGGCCTGGAACACTGACTCTGCTCCTGGATGTGCCCCTCCTCTCTACCCACTGCCTTATGGGCTGGGCAGTGAGGAGAAAGTGCGTTGGGTGCAGAGAAGCTGCTGGCCCTGGCACACATGCCTCAAACTCGATCCTGGGCCCCATCCGGGACCTCAGCTCCTGCCAGAGCCAAAGGATTCAGATCCTGGGGCCAGGCCCTCAGCAGGCGGTAAATTGTTTGCTAAAAGTGCATTTACACAGCAGCAAAGTTTGTCTCTCTTTTTCCAGTAGCTTTGTTTTAACGAACCAGATGTTTTGTCTGTAAATTCTCCCAAGAACTTTTACAGTTTTGACGTGAAATAAACCTTCGAAAATCGGAGCGGTATATTAACGCCACTTCTGTGGGGCCTCTGGAGAGCTTCGTCAGGCGCGCCTGGATGTGACTGGGGTGGGGTGGGGGGCAATCTTGGAAGAAAAGTAGAGGGCTTCTTTGCCTCAAGGTCAAGAATTGGCTTTGGGGATATGACACACCTCCCACACCCCTAACACACGTACACATACGCGCCCACACACTCCCAACACTCACCCTCCCGGTGGGGCTTCCTGCTTTGTGAATTTTCTGAGGCCTGGGGCACAGACAGTACAGCCCAACTTGACCTGTCAGCCTGGCCCAAAGCACCCCTGGCATTTTTCAGCAGGAACTTCTTGACCCAAGAACAAAAGGGCCTGCGATCTTTCTGGGGCAGTCTTGAAGCCTGTGGCCTTGGGGATACCGGCAGAGCAGAGCGGAGCTGGGATCCCAGCCCCTCCAGGAGCTCCTGGCACTACTGGATGCCAGAGAACTGTGGTTAGCAGCAGAGAGGGTGTAGACCCCCAAGGAAGCCAGGGCCCCCGGATCTGCCTCTGCCCATTTTCACTGCCCCACCCCACTGAACTGGATTTCCAAGCAGTTAGAAACACCTTTGGGAAAAGGGAAGGGGGACCTAAAAGCTAAACTATACACCCAGCAGAGGGAGGGAGCAGGACTAAGGGTGGGGTGGGATGGGGTGGTGGAGAACTGGGTGTGCCTGGATACCCCTCCTCGGCTTGGGTTCAGTTCTGCAGACACTTTCTCAGGTTTCCTGCGGCCATTACCGTCTCCCTCCACCTCTCCCCCTGCTCCCTGGTGTGCTCCTCCGTCAGTCTTCCAAAGTCTCCGTTTCTTCAGCAATGCTCTTTCGTTCTATCATTTACTGAACTTTCAAAAACTTTTATTTTTTAGTAGACAGAAGATTCAATAAAATAAAAGCCTTTGTATTTCGGTCTAAAGAGGATGGCTGTACATTAAGCGCAGTTTGCAGAGCACGGTTACCCGGCAAAACGCTCTTTTCTCCAGTCCCACGAGTAGGCTTGAGTTGCGGGGGGAATTTTCAGAATTCCTCGCTGCAGCGTTGCGTGCCCCTTCACCATGATCTGGGTGAAATGGATTTTTAGAAACCAGTTGGACAGAGTTAAAAACGAACAAAATCTACAGACCAGATAGCTGCCGCCACCGGGGAGCTCACCTCTGGCCGGGAGCGAGTATTTCTCACCGGTGGTGCCCACCTCTTCTCGCGCGGTCACAGGAGCTGCCCCGGCACCAGCGGGCATCTGAATCACTGCGCGTGCAACTCGATTCTGGGCTGAACCCCGGCTCTTCGAATGCTGTAATCCCAGAGGAGGAGGCGATCCCAGAAATCGAAGCACCCCGTCCTGGCAGACCAAACCACCCAGGGTTCTGCGCCTGATGACCTCATTAACCTGACGGGGAATTTGCGAGACCAGCAACAATCTCGTTTCCCTTTTGTCTTTTCCTATATCGCTCTTCTTGTATGTATCATACATAATGATTTTGTGTTTGTCCCAAATTTCCGAACGGGGAAAACCTAGGCTAACTCTCAGCAGGGCAGGTACAGGACAGAGGACCCAGGGGCACCGTTCTTTCACATTTTTATTTCTGGAAACGTAGTATCTCTTGTATTTGGACAATAGGAGAGCCGGGGTTGTTTGAGTCAGATGGCCCGAGGGGTCAGATTAGATGGCGCACAGGTAATCTCTGACTTCTTCCGAGCTTCTCTGTTACACTCCACGGTGCACCCCTTCTGCAGAGAAGCCCTGGATTCTGCTTTCTCGCTTCATCTGGCTGCCATATCTTTTTTTTCTCCCTCCATCTCTTTCATCTTCTTTCTCCCTCTCTTTCTTTCTGCTTTCCTCTTCGGTTCTCTCTTCTACCAACTCCTCCATGTTCCTAAGAATTCTCAAAGATGACTTACTTAGGATCCATCAAGCGCTGCCTTCAAAGAGGTCAGGTCCTCCTGTCTAAGACAAGCGGGGGTGGTAACCCACGCAGGAATAGGGAGACAACAAAGTGGTTTGTAGTTGCAGCAGCTTTTTAGGTGGGGGTTGGAGAGAAAGGTCAGATATAAGTTAACCCTTGGTTTAAAGTAAAAGAACACGTTAAGAAGTTTCAAAACTGCCAATAAAACCCTTTAAGTGGCTCGTGATTCAGTGCCTGGAGTTGCGATGGTGGCATTGGTAAATGACTCTAATGCCCAAAGAAAAATATTACAAATGCCGCTGTCTCAGCCACCAATCGGGCGCCGCTCTCCAGCACCGGCGGTGGCTCCTCTCCGGCGCGGAGGGCACCTACATTTGCATGATAAATTGACCAGACAGGCGGCAGCCAATGAAATATTCAAATTAGGCCGGAGGGGATGGGATGGAGTCCCTGGGGCTCCCCATTTGAGCCGTTGGCTGGAGCCGGCCTTACTACCTCTCCATCAGCGCCCTCTAGAGGCGGGACAACGCGGGCGGCAGCTCTGGCCCAAGGTGCAAAAGGCCGTTGGGGTGGGGGATGGGGGGTGGGCTTGGTCTGAAAGGAGGTAGGGTTGGAGTGCTTTGGGGCTCCAAGAGGCTTTGGGGCTGAGCTAGTGGAGTAAGTAGGTTGTAGGGTTTCTGCATACATCTTGCCCTTGAACCTGTTGATGGGTTGCAGAAGGAGTTGGTGACCCCAGAGCGGGATTTAGGAAGGGCTCTAGCCCCTCCCCCATTGCCTTTGTCTTGTTTCCCCTAACCACCTAGCATTTACGTTAAAATAGTAGGTTTCCTGCATTGATTATCTTCAACAGAAGATCCTTTTCCAAGCCAGACCACAATGGACCTCCCCAAAGTCCCTAAAATACTGAAAATGCTGAGCAGATCTATTCAGCAGGCCCTGCAGCTCAGCTGGAAAGTGGTGTGGAACTCTCCAGGGGGTGCACCAGGCCCAGAGCTGTAAATGTGGCTGGGCTGTGGGCACCTGGCCCCTGGGAACCGGCAGGACAGGCAGGCCAGCAGCTAGCGCTGGGCCCTCAGCAGGGCGGGCACAACTTCCCTCTGGGCAAATAAATGGCTTCCTGGAGGAAGCATCCTGGCTTCCAAGTAGCTGGCGAGAGTGTGAGCTGAGAGAAGAGGCACTTGCACGGTATTGATTGGCCTGTCGGAGGCCTGGGCAGGATGTGTAAGAGCACATCAAGAGACTGACTCTGCAACCAGGAGCCCTTGGCTCCACAGCCACCTGAAGAGCTGGCCTCCTGGCGTGGCCCCACCTGGGGGTCCTGACTTAGCTGGGACTTTTGCGAGGGAGCCCAGGAGCCCTGAACATTTTGAAACTGCTGAGCATCTCTTCCTCCCACCCCATCCCCCATTCCAGGCTTCTTATTAAAGTTTTTTGTTTTTGTTTTTGTTTTTAGAAGTGTGGCTTTCTTCGACCGATGTGGAGTGAGAACTTTATTCTTTCTTTCTCCAACTCAACAAAGCATAGTCATGGGTCAGCTGACTGCCTGGGAGGGAACTTGACCCCCACCTCTCTCCCCAGACAAAGGGGTCTGCAGGGATGGTCTGACTTTCCTCTAGGCCCTTCTCTCCCAGACAAGCTCAGGGCAAGCCAAGCATCTACAGCTGTCCTCCCCTGCCCCTTAACCAGGGGTGCCTAGGGGCAGGAGCCTCTCAGGGCCTGGCCCCCAGCTGGCTCCATAACTAAATACACGTAACAAAAATACTAAATGCAGATACACATTTGGGAGAGAGTGAAATATGGGCAACTCCAAGTAAGTTGCCAAATTACAGGACTAATTCATAAGCCTTTTTGCATAATTTGGAGTTTCTAGGAGCATGTTGACCAAAGAAAAGGACTTTTGACCCCAGGCGTGATAGGAATGCACTAGGCAAACACCTGTTGGTAGAGGCAGATTCTGACACAAAAAAGACCTCCCTGCTTTCCCAGATAATCTTCATGTGCAGTGGATTTGTGTACCCGGCTAGGCTATAAAGTTCCCTTGTGAGAAGGCCTATGAAGGGAATAAGCTCCTTCCTTCTGGTCTAGCTGAGCCAATGTAATCAAGTCTTACCTGGGGAAAGATGATACTTGCAAATGAGCCAGAGTTACCTCCCTGCAGTGAAATCTATGGAGGAGTCAGTCCTGCCTGACAGGTCCAGAGATCAAATCAAGTGCCCTCCCCGCCCCCACTCTGTTAGGTGGGAAAGGTGGGAAAATTTAGGATTGTCTATCCAACCCAGCACTCAGCTAATCTCCACTGAACCATGAATGAGGGAGTCAATGAGGCATGCAGCAAAGGGGAAGAAATAAGTCAGTTTCTCTTAGGAGGTAAGTACCAATAAGCAGCACACAGTGGGGCTGCTCTGCACTTACCCAAGTGTGCAGTTGTACATCATGGGGGACTGCAGCTTTGATTGTGGTGATGGAGGACCTAGGTGTGGCCCATAACTCACCAAGCCAGCTGGAACAAGTCACCCCCACACTCTGAACCTGGTCTCCTCCAGGAAAGACCTCTGTCTAAAGCAACTAGCAGGGACTTGGTAAGGAAACAGTCTATCAAAGTAAGAGATGCCCTTTGGAACCTTTTGGCTGTGATCTTTTTGCTAGGAGCTTTAGGGATCTGACCAGGATTGGAAAGAGGCACCTGTGTTACTAGCTATGCACCCCTGGGAGCATCCCAGTGAGACCCACTTCCCAAGGCCTTGGTGAAACAAAGCTCGCCTAGTATGCTCACTTGGGATGACGTGTGTCAATGCTTGGTAAAGAGCTCAGTATACTCTAATTGTCCAGTAAATGGTGAACCCTAAAGTCAGTGTGAGAAGGCAGCCACAGAGTCAGAACTCCCAGAAGGAAGATACTATAAACGAATGAGACTGTGGTGGCACACGCCTGTAATCCCAGCACTCTGGAGGGTGAGGCAGGAGGATCGCTTTGAGTTCGAGACCAGCCTGGGCTACATAGTGAGTTCCAAGTCAGTCTCAACTACATAGTGAGACCCTGTCTCAAAAAAACAAACAAAAGAAAACAAGATGAGATTGGATACACCTTAGGATGCAAGCAAATGCATAGAATGGGGCAAAAGAAAAGGAGAGAGAGAGAGAGAGAGAGAGAGAGAGAGAGAGAGAGGGAGGGAGCTTCCTGGAAGGAGCAGGAGTTTGCAGGGCTGATAAGGCAGGCTCCTTCAGATCTTTCTGTGAGCTCATTAGAAGAAGAGTGTGATAAGGAGCCACGCTGATATTTCTGTTTTCCCTCTTCATAGTGACTGGGATTTGCAACATCCAGGTCAGATGGAAAATAGAAACTGGGAAAACCTGACACTCTCATTGATTTGCTCTCTTTGCCATCGCTACTTGTGAGAGAAAGAAATGTGACTTCAAAATTGCAATTAGGAAGCAGCCTGCTTAGCGTTCCTCCAGAAGCTCCCTTCCTGCCCCTGCTGCTCACCCGCCTAGTTCCTTCGGCTTCCTAGGGACATAGGTTCATTCATGGCTTTCAGCAGAAGCAGGCCGGACAAACGTGTCACACGTCCCTGTAAGAAGCTCCCAAAGACCATCAGCACTTTCCTCACACTGCTTTTTTTTTTTTTTTTTTTGGTCAGATGCTTGAGAGGATGGAAATTTCCCCAATGTTCTAAAAGTATTAACTTCCTTTCAAACATTCTGTAACCTTTACTGTTTTGTAACTTGATGAAAAGGTCATTTTGTTCGAGGGTGCAGCTGCTCCATAATTGTTCAGCTATGAGGGTGAATTCCATCCAAATCCCAAACTCTGTAATGGGATCCAAGCATACACACACACACACACACACATACACACACACACACACACACACACACACACACACACACCATGTACTAGAGATGAAGATTCTCCTGTGCACAGCTCTGTAGCCATATGCATATGAGTTTCCATTGGTACCCATGCTCATGCAGACCACAGGGTGTTGGGTTTTGGTTTTTTTTGTTTTTTGTGGGGTTTTTTTTTAGACAGGTCACTGTGTAGTTGAGACTGACCTGGAAGTCACTATGTAGCCCAGGCCAGTCTTGAACTCATAGCGATCCTCCTGCCTCAGCCTCCTGAGTGCTGGGATTACAGGCATGCGCCACCACACCCGGCAGGGGTGTTGGTTCTAAATTAACATCTCTAACCTTCTTCAAAATGATTTCTTTATAGGAAAAAAAAAAACATAAAATTCAATCTTTTGAAAAGGTTTCACTAAACATTTGTGCTGGACACATTTCTGATTTTTTAAAGAAATGGTCTAGTCAGTGTCTAACAACATTTCTTTGCAGTCCTTACCATAAATGCTGTCAGAAACCCAGGAAAGTTGAGGTCTTCTTTTTTTTTTTTTTTTTGTCTGTCTTTTGCATGGTGTCAGTTTCTTAATTGTCAGTGCTTCTCTCAGCCCCTTCTCTTTTGCTTTTACCTTTCTAAGCTGATATATTCTGGGAACCAGATGTCTGAGCACTTTACATTTATATTTAAAATAAGGTCTGAGCTAATAGGCTCAAATGAGAACGTGAAGAAATTCTCTGAAAGGAAAACTGCATGAAGTTTAGACCCCACAGTGTGGGTCTACATTTGTATTTTACTTGTCAAGAGATATCACGTTTGCCTGTAATTCTTGCTCGAGTGACTGAGTTTTTAGATGATAGATTTCCAGGCAAATAGGGAGCATCTGATCTAAACTGTGTAATAAATCAGCGAGGGCACTCTATAAGATTAACATTCGTTAAAGTGAAGAGAGAGAATTGATACTTTTAAAAGGATACAACTTTTACTTAAAAGCAACCACTTTTAGAAGGTCTCTGGCTGCAGAAAATGGCAGTAAAAGGAAGTGGGGCTTCTGAGCATAATGCAGAATCACCTGGATAATCTCTCTTTGGAAAAAAAAAGCCTGTAGGATTTATACCCCATATTCATTCTCTGTCCGTTCCTGGCTCCAGACTGGTCTGCATTTCTGTGGTATCTGACTTCTGACTTCCTGTCATTCAAAAATGTAGAAGACTATGTGAATCACACATGTATGGTGTATTGTAACTCAAGGGCCAGCACATGCAAAATCAGCATTCAGGCACCTGAAGTCCCCCTGACACCTTCCAACCCCAACCTTCACACTGGCAGGCCACCTCTAGCCTTAATTTTGAGCAAACACTTTCTTGACTTGCAGTGTAGTTTGAACGCTTAAGGGTGCATCCCTGTGCATGTTCATCAATGAAATAATATTGAATAAATCATTTTGTGTCTTGTTTTTTAAGCAGCATTGTGTGCAAGACCTAACTATGTGGATATGTATAGTTGGTCATTTTCAAAACTGCCCTATGAATGCATCTCAATATATTGTTTTGTTTATTTATTTATTGTTTTTACTTTGTGGGCTATTGAAAATGCTGCTGTGAGTTGCTCATGCCTGTGCCCCAGTACACTCTGTTATACATATGTTGGGGGGGGGATCGCTTGGGCATAAATGATCCATATTTAGGATATCCTGAAACATGCTGTTTCTAAAACTGATTGGTTTTTTGTTTGTTTGTTTTTATTTTGTTTTGTACCACTGGAGATTGGACCCAGGGCCTTCACACTGAGCTACATCCCCAGCCTTTTTTGTTTTTTATTTTGAGACAGAGTCTTGCTAATTCCCTAAGTTATCTAGGCCAAGCTGGAATATGAGATCGCCCTGCCTCAGTCTCCCAGATTGGTGAGATGACGGATATGCACAGCCAAACCCTGGAGAATGGTGTGTATTTGAAACAATCCCATTCTGCATCCTTGCCAACCTACAGCATTGCCAGCCATGTTTTTTCTTCTTTTAACATTTTCTAATAATGGCTGTAGTTGCGGACTCTTTGTATTTAATTTGATTTCTGTGGTCCGTAATGAGTTTGAGCACACTATGTATTTGTGTTCATTTGGCTTTCCTTATTTGTGAGGTTCTTGTTCAAGTCCCTTTTTTCCATTGAATATTTACTCCATACTATTTCACTGACGTCCTGTATTGGCCAGTTGTTTTTAAATTGGTTTAAGATCATGGGCCAGATCAGAAAGATTTCAGTGGGATCTTTTGATTATATTTCCTAGAATGCTTTAGTCTGCAAAACATGTGACCCCCCCCCACTCACCCTGCATAAAGAAATTGTCCTACGGTAGCCGTTTGGCTCAGTTCTGTCAACAGGAAGCAGTGTTTCTACCCTTGCGCCATCATCTCACAGAGAACGTGTGTGTGCTGAGGATTTCCAAAGGGCTAAAACTGGTCAGTGAGAGTCCTGGCTTCTTTGTCTACGCAAACAGGGAAGAGAACAAAAAAACGAATGAAAAAATGAATGAAAAAATAAATAAAACTTTTCGTTAATCCATGGACCCTAAACACTTCTTTCAGTTTTCAGGGACCACTTCTGGGGAGCAGCAGTAGTCACCAGAGACTATAAAGTGGGGGACAGCCTTGCTGAGCAGCTCTGCAGGATAGAATGAATATGAGAAGCAGGTGAGTGATGAGCCCAACCCAAACCACCACCACATTTACTTCCAAGCCTGTCCGTAGTTTTTCTAATTTAATTTTTATTTTATTTTGTGATTTTGCTGGGGATTGAACTCGGGTCCTTGCTCTTGCAGGCAGGCAGCGGAACCACTGAGCCAAATCCCTGGCCCTCTAATTTAATTTTAAAATTCGCGTGGAGTAAAATCCACTCTGATTTGCGGCAGGTCCGCAGTCACACATCTACCACCGCAGTCCAGAGTTGGGACGATCCATTACCCACTCCCCCACGCCCCTGCCGGTTCCTCTGCGCTGCCCTTTTGTAACCCATCTCTCCACCACCTGCCCTAAACTCCCACCCTGCCCCGAGAGGAGCCATTGTACCACTGACTCTTTTTTCCTATAGTTTTGCCTTTCTAAGAATGGAGCACACGTGGACTTTATACCGATGTGCATCGGTTTGAATCAGACTTCTATCACATGGTACAGAGCATTGGGATTTTACCAGCGTTTTTGGGGGTGTCGATAAGTTTTGTCTCATCCATGCTGAAAAATACTTCTTTGTCTGAATGTACAGAAATCTGTTGACCCATTCCTCTCAACTGAAGGACAATTGAATTGTTCCTGGAGAATAAAGCTGCTACCCAGTAGCTTTTATGTGGATAGCTTGTCTTTCGTCTGAGGTCTTATTATATAGAAGTGTCTTTGCTAGGCCCTATGGAGGAGGAAGTCTAATGTTGTAAGAAAGATTCCAACCAGTTAGGCTTTTTCTTAAAAAGAAACAAACAAACAAAAAAAACAATAGAAAGGGCTGGTGATACAGCTCAGTGCAAAGACCCTGGTTCAACCCCAAGTGCAAACAAAAACAGACAAACAAAAACTGCCAAATGGTTCCCTAAAGGAATTATACCATTGTGTATCTACCCCTGAAAAGAACAGGAAGTTCTACTTTCTGCCAAGGAGGCTCTGATGGACATAAAGTTCTTTGCAAAGACTGATAGAGCCTGGCCAGGGGCCTAGTGGGAGAATTAGTTAAGTCTAAAACCTTAACCCCTGTGGTCTCCCAGCAGGTCCTTTGGAATGGGGACAGAGTATGTACCTCCATTTCCAGATCGCTTCCTTTCCGGCGGGGGGGGGCACAGGTAACCACGCCCCCACCCATTTTATGGATGAGGCCACGGCCCTGCTGCTCTTGGTTAAACCAGCCTGACTTTCTACAGTACAATCAAGAGCAAGATTCCTGAGTTCACAAAGTGAAATGAAGTGTGATCATTTGGAATGTTTCTTACTCACACAACAAAAGCTAGGAAACTCAGCAGGTTCCCTTCCAAGGTGATAACGGATTACATGGCCTTTGTCCCAGAATTCCAGTGCCCATCTCTGCCAGCCTTACCGGATGGCCTTAGATGGAACAGAAGATCAGCTCATTTCATATGTGACCTCTGGGAATGTGGGGTAGCACCCTAGCTGTGGATGGAACAGGCTTGTGAATCTGCAGACATGGAAATGAGGCCCCACTGCCAGGGGCCCCATGGCCAGAGGTCCTGCTTTCTGGCTCACATCCCGTAAGTTGTTGCTTCCTTCATTGTAGGCCCCATTTCTAAGGCACCTTCACGTTTCAAACGTCTTGAGAATATGTTTAATTAGAACTTGGCCACACAGCCTTTTAAAATAAAACAGAAGGGACCGGCTAATTATATCGCTCAGCATTCTGTGGCAAACATATATTTTTTAATAAAACACTTTCTTAACCAGAGTAATCCCTTGAGATGCAAATCCTCATTTATAAGAAGTTTCCCAAAGGGAGTTAAAAGAGAAGATGCCTTCTAAAGAAAGGATACAAAAGGAGGAAGGAAGTGTCTTCCAAAAGCTTTTAAAAGATGTACTCATTCTGAGGTTGAAATACAGACAGATTGGAGGTGAACGATTGTACTTCCTGTCCTGTCATTCTTTCCTGTGGTTTAGATCATGTCTTCTTCCCCCTTTTTGGATTATTACATGTGCCCATATTTCTCACTCTGGCACTTTTTCTTAAGTACAATATTTAAATAAACAAGTGATTGTCTCAAAATACACTTCATCTCCTGCTGCTTCTCCTGCCCTTGCTCCACTCCGTGAGGCAGCCGCCTCTCCGCTCATCTAGGAGCCTGCACAGGAGCGGTGCTACAGACAGCCACGGTGCCCCCTGCGGTGCTTTTCCTGAAGTCCCTGCAGCCCAGGGAAGGGAAGGAGGATCCCCCACCCACCCCTGCAGCGGCTGCATCTCCAGAAGTGGTGTTTGGGATGTTTACATTATTGAGGCTGCCTGCCTGTTGGTCAGCACAGGCTCAGATTTGGGGGGCAGTGTTACTCCACCCCAGCCACACACTACGAAGTTTAGCTATCTCATCTCATTTAATCCCCAACCTGCTTACTGTATTCAGGGAATGCAGATGTTCTCACCCTATTTTGCAAATGAGGAAAGCTAGACTTGGAAGGTAGAGAAAAGTAGGGAAGGTCTTGTGGCTGTTAGAAGGGGGAGGACTTGGGTTTGAATGCAAGCGCTTTAGCCCCGGAATTCAGCTCTCAGGACACTGGGCTGTAGCACCCAGGAAGACATCACCGGGCTCTGAGACACCAAGCTTCCTACAGTGTGCTTCCTGCCCAGCTTCCTGGTGCCCTGTGGGTCCCAGATGGACGCTGCATTTTCAGGTAAGTTCTTTGGCATTCGGGTCTGGGTGGGAAAGAGAGGATCTGCTCAAATATGGATTATTCATGGAAGATTTCCGAGAGACTACTTACAAAGTTAAAAGAAAGCACAAGAGAAAATTAACAAAACTGCTACTTCTGTAGGTCTTCCCTGGCCTGGTTATTGCAAGCAGGGAGAAGAGTAGGGTGAGGGCCACCTTTGGAAGCTTATGACCTTCAGAAGAGAGTTGCAGCCTAAAAAGGCTCACTGGGGGATGACAAAGCCCACCCTTCCTCTCCGCTCTCCTATTAGGATTCTACATTGGCTACATCCCAGTATCTGCACCACACACCAGCAGGCAGGGTAGTACCTTGACACTTCCGTCTAGGTTGGCCTCCTAAGGTGCAGTACAGGGAAGGCCTGGGGATAGAAAGTGAACAGAAGTTCTTGCATCTTGCAGAGCGCTCAGCCTGTGCTGGCTCTGCTGAACGGGAAAGAGAGAGGACCGTACCACTGACCTTAAAGATCTTAGAGTATTTGCAGGGGCTTAGTTCAAATGGAAAGGTGTTCATAGGTCAGAGAACTAGAGAGCCTTCAGGGTGTGAGCTGTAGAGGATGTGCTTTCAGGAAGCGTAGGGTTCCCCTCGTGTGAGCCTCAAAGGGACACAACCCAATCCACATGTCTTGCCCTCCACTTGCGGCCATTTTCAACAGTCAGGCCAACTCCAAATATCCACCCTTTTTACTTGACATTTATATTGTTCTCTTTTCTCACAGGCTTCTTAAATAAAGACATTTCTCTCTTTCTGAATGTTAATTTATTTTCTATAGAGCAGGTCAATGGAACTCACTGGAATGTTTTCGGATAAGCACACACCATGGACTGGTCACTTCCATTCACCGTATGCCCTGCTTCCCCATCTCAAATAATCTTTCTTCTGCCTTGAAGTGGATTTTTTAATGTCTTTGTTTGCTTTTCTTTCTTAGTTTCCACCTATGGGGGGGGAACGTGTGGGACTTGTTTTTATATGTCTAGTTTATTTTGCCGAGGGCCTGCAAGTTCCATCAGTTTTGCTACATGTGACAGGATTGTGCTCTTCTGTGTGGCTGAATGATGCTGCATATGTGGTGAGATATCACTCAGATGTGCGCACACACACACACGCACACACACATGCACACACACACATCACATTTCTTTATCCATGCATCTCCTGATGATGACCCAGGCTCATTCTATGTCTTAGCTACTGTGAATGGTTCCACAATGAACTTGGGCGTGCAGGTGTCTCTTTGTGTTGGCTTCTATTTGTTTTATTTCCTTTTGATATATACCCAGGAATTGTAATGCTTGGATCATGTGGTGGATCTATTTTTACTTTTTAAGGAAGTTCTAGACTGTTTTCCATAGTAGCTGTATTAATGTACATTCCCACCAACAGTGTGTAAGGGGGTTTCTTTTCCTGTCTATTTTCATTAGCGTTTGTTATATTTTGTTGGTAATAGTCATTCTGAGTTGAGATGCTCTCTCACGCTAGTTTTGATTTGTATTTCCCTGATGGCTAATAATATTGACCATTTAAAAAAGACATTTATTGGCTATTGTGTTTCTTCTTTTGAGAATTGTATATCCAGATCATTTGCCCATTTATATTTCTTTGTGTGTTAGGGAAGAAGGTATAAGGGTTAAATTCAAGGCCTTTGTACTGAGCAATATCCCCAGCCTTTTAAAAATGTTTTTACATTTAAGAAGAGGGTATAGTGAAGTTGCTGTCCGGCTGGGCTCAAACTTGTGATCTTCCTGCCTCGGTCTCCCAGAATGCTAAGATTACAGGTGCAAGCTCTATTTCTTAAATAAAATTTAAATGAAAAAATAAAAAGAAGAAGAAAAGAAGCCATTCATTATCCTAGTCGCCAAATACAACAATTGTAAATAGTTTGGTAAGACTTCTTCCACTTGCTGTCCTCTGGGCTCTCCCTCTATAGAGATGGTCATAATGAGTAGGCCATTCTGAATTTTAGATTGAGCATTATTGTCATATTTTATCATAGGACTTCTTTATTAGATGGTTGCATAATATTCCATTCCGAGAATGCTAGCATATTATCAAACTTCTACTGTTTAACTGTTTTGGTTATTTTCTGCCCTTTGTTAACAGCATAAAATACTATAAAGAGTAACTTGTACATAAATACTGCTTATGTTTTCTATTATGTCTTCAGGATGATATCCCCCAGATAAAGCTGTGAGGTGGTAAAACACCAAAGACAGCGCCAGCCACAGAACAGACACAACTGCAACCATATTATCTTTCTTAGTGAATATTCACATGAGAATGTTTTCAGATTAGTAATTCCTCTGAGGACTCTCCTCTAGAGTAGCACTAAAATACAATACAAGCCGCATGATGCTGGGTACTACTATGGCCACGTTTTAGGCTGAGACAGGAGGAGTACAAGTTCAAGCCTAACCTGAGCAGCTTAGTGACTGCCTGCATCAAAGTAAAAGATAAAAGGGATGGGGAATATAGCTAAGCACTAAAGCATCCTAGGTTTGGTCCCAAGTCCAAAAAGAAAGAAAAGAAAGAAAGAAAGAAAGAAAGAAAGAAAGAAAGAAAGAAAGAAAGAAAGAAAGAAAGAAAGAAAGAAAGGAGACATTAAAAAAATGAACAACAACCCAAAAAAGCAGAATTAAAAGGTTGACATTAATTTTTATAATATATTTTATTCAAAAATTCAGTTCAAAGTATTATAATTTTAACACAATCAATATAAAAATGATAAATGAGATGTTTTGCACTTTTCCAGTAACCTCTGAAATCTGACATGTATTTTATACTTAAATGCTTCTTAATTTTGAGCAGCCACAGTGCTTGATAGCCACACTATATAGAACAGTGAAGGTGTAGAGCAAGAGATGTTCCAAAGAGTTTTTGCAACTATTGGCAACTGTACCTAGCTCCAAAGTACAGCTGCCTTTAAATACTTTCCAGAAGCCCTGGTCTTCTGGACTGACAGTGGACCAAGTTGCCAGGTATAGCACGATTCATATTTGGGCATTTTTTTCACGTTGTTCTCGTAGATGTCCCTTCCATAAA